AGCCTCTCTCCCCCACCCCATCCCCTCATTGACGATGAAGCTGGCCCCCGCAGAGAGCAGGCCTCTAAGACAGAAGTCTTTGCAATCTCTGCTCCAGCACTTCCTTCTACCAGCAAATGCAGAGAGCAGCCCACTTCCCCTAGCTCAGTGGCTCTCAACCTTTATAATGCCTCGACCCTTTAGTACAGTTCCTCATGCTGTGGTGATCCCCCAACCAGAAAATTATTTTCGTTGCTACTTCATAACTGTAATTTTGCTACTGTTATCAGTTGTAATGTAAATATAAGATATGCTATATGTGTTTTCCGATGGTTGCGACCCACAGGTTGAGAACCACTGTTAAGGCTTAATCAATAAAAAAATTTAAAAAAAAGAAAAATATTTATTTCCAAAGTTCTTTAAAACTGTGGTACTAATTCTTATAGGTAAATAAAGTTGTTTAACAAGTGTTTTTTTCCCTTTTCCCTTATTTTCTTTCTCCAGGCTCAAAGATTTGGAAAGAGATAGCTTAACAGAAAAGGTAATCACTATCTTCAAACATTTTTACTACCAAATGTGACTGATAGATCACTATGTAGCTTGTAAAAGGTTTGAGGGGATATTTATCTGGCAGGGAGATACCATGATCAGGAAGGTGGTTTTCCTAGGGTGAGGCTTACCCATTGCACTCTGGATGTGCTGGCCTTTGGCAATTTCCCCAAATGTGGGAAACTCAACTGCATAATTCGTGGAAGTGGGCAACTGTGTGCTCTCCCCTGAAAAAGTTTAGGTGGGATCGTTTTTTTTCCATAAAGTTTTGAGATAGCTTGGAAATAAATACTCTTCTTGTTTAATGTGCTGTGTTAATACTGCTAATACCAGTTGACTTTTGGTAACTTGTTGACAAGTTTACCCATCTAAGTTCCAAACCATCAGTTCTGAACTATAACTTGTCTTGGTCACTGTTTTCAGAAGCACAGTTTTGTTCTAATACGCCATATATGTCTCTGTCTGACCTCTGATCTTTTCTATTTTTCGCTGTTCTGGAAATGATGTGACATGATCTTAATGGAAACATCACAAAAGTGTCTTGGTGAATACTTGGGTTTTTGGCAGTCGGCATTGCCTGCCATTCAGTCATTATGTGACCAGGCAGCATCATTGTGTATTATAATGTCCATTAGTTAGTAGCTTGGGAGTTTGGGGACTTCTAAACTTGTGTCCTTCCCTTAGGAGTGTGTGAAGGAGAAATTGAATCTCTTGCATGAATTTCTGCAAACAGAAATAAAAAATCAGTTATGTGATTTGGAAACGAAATTACATAAAGAAGAATTATCAGAGGTAAGTTTTCAGCATCCTGACATCTAGGAAACGTCTCCTCTCATGCAGCTTGTCTGTGACCAGGGAGGTGGAGTAATCCCCAGCTCCCCCGTTACCTGATAATTATAAAGGAAATGCGTTTGTTTCCTTATTCTTACTGCCACTTGTTTACATTCACTGCTACTTAAATTATCCTTTCCTGCTATAGGAGGGCTACCTGGCTAAAGTCAAATCCCTTTTAAATAAAGATTTGTCCTTGGAGAACGGAGCTCATCCTTTCAGTCGGGAAGTGAATGGATGTCTAGAAAACGGGAGTCATTCAAGTGGTGAGGACCGCAGAGTGAGAATGGCAGAGGAAAACAAGTCGCCCAAATCCATGTCCAAACCTTGCACGCCCAGGAGAAGCAAGTCTGATGGAGAGACCAAGTGTAAGAGCCCTGAACTCGTTTGACCTTGATGGAGACTGTTGCCACATAAAGAAGGGGACAGTCAGACCTGGAGTCATAGTCCTCCTGGGCAGTATTTCCTGGCTTGTTTCGTGTATATACCCATAACTAGTAAATTATACTTCCTAACTAGCTTAGGTATATGCTCATCTAAAGTTTGTCTTTGACCAAGTCTTGGGCATTAGGTCTCAAAACATGGCTAAGTTTATGAGGTATAAGGTAACAGGAACTACTAATACTTAAATTACTTCTGTTAATATGCCTATTGAAGCTAAACATTTATTTTTAGACTCCTTCCCAGTTTGTAGTCAAAGTAACTCTTCTGGAATCTTTACAAACAAAAGGGCATGAACTTGAGCTCAGGTCCAGCTCTCAGCCACTTCATTATTTAATTTTTTTCCCAACATTTTAAAATATATTTTCTTTATTACTGATTTTTAGAGAGAGAGGAAGGACATAGAGACAGAGAAACATTGATATTGGCTGCCTCCTGCACACCCCCTACTGAAGATCCAGCCCACAACCCGGGCATGTGCTCTGACTGGTAATCAAATTGGGGACCTCTTGGTTCCTGAGTCGATGTTCAACCACTGAGGCATACCAGCCGGACCACATTTTTTTTTTTTTTGTTTTGTTTTTAATCCTCACCAGAAGATATTTTTCCCAATACCTCTGAGAGAGAGTGGAAGGGAGGGTGGGAAGGAGGGACAGAAACATCTATGTGAGAGACACTTAGACTGGCTGCCTCCTGCGCAAGCCTCGGCTGGGGCCAGGGATTGAACCTGCAACCCAGGCAGGCCCCTTGACTGGGAACCGAACTTGAGGTGAACATGCTGACACTCTAACCACTGAGAAACAGGCCCAGGCTTAGCCCTTTCACTTTTTGATGGTTCAGGTTCCTTGTCTGGTTCAGGGGTTGGCCCCTCAATAAGAGGTTGTGTAAAACTAGCAGGTAGGTGCTAATTGCCAATTTTTGTTGTTAATCCTCACCAGAGGATATTTTTCCATCAATTTTTTTAGGGAGAATGGAAAAGAGAGGGAAAGACAGAAGCATCGATGTGAGAGAGACACATTGATTGGTTGCCTCCTGCATGTACCAGGGCCAGGGACCTTGCAACCAAGGTTCGTACCCTTGACCATAATCGAACACGGGACCCTTCGGTCCTCAAGCCAATGCTCTATTCACTGAGCCAAACTGGCTAGGGCCTAATTGCCAATTTTATCAAGACAGTTGTTGATTAGAATAAGGGAAGGACACTTAATCTTCTTCATTAACTTGGTGATGCTGAAGAACTGTACCTTTGCTGTAAACTTTTGTATTCATAGTGGCTTTCTTTTTCTTTAAACAGCTGAAGTCTCACCTAGTCCCAGGATTACAAGGCAGTCTACCAGGCAGACCACCATCACCTCTCATTTCACAAGGGGGTCAGTATATAATGAATTGACAGCTGCCTTTTCTAGGGGCTAACTGCTTTTGGTAAAACGTGTAGAATTAGACTTTCCACGTTGCATAGGTTTGCCTGTGCAGTTTTGTTCATTAGACATTTATGAACAGCATTTTTTTATATTCAATATTTTGTTTTAGTTTCAGGTGTACAGCATAGTGGTTAGACAATCAGAAACTTTATAAAGTATTCCCCCTGATATTTTGAGTACCCAACTGGCACCGTACATAGTTACTATAGAATTAGAGGCCCAGTGAATGGATTCGTGCACCAGTGGGGTCCCTCAGCCTGGCCTGTGGGGATCCGGCCAAAACAGGCTCTCTGACATCCCCTGAGGGGTCCCAGATTGTGAGAGGGCACAGGCCAGGCCAAGGGACCCCACTAGTGCACAATTGGGGCTGAGGAGGGACCTTGGGAGGGCTCCAGGGCATGTCTGGCCCGTCTCGCCCAGGCCCGCTCAGCCGGACCCCAGCAGCAAACTAACCTACTGGTTGGAGCATCTGCCCCCTGGTGGTCAGTGTGCATCATAGTGACTGGTCAAACAGTTGGAGGGACACTTAGTATATTTGGCTTTTATATATATAGGTTATTGACTGTATTCTCAATGCTGTATTTATATCCCTGTATGAATGGCATTTCTGAATACTTCATTTATTTTTATTCTTAACTATAGGAAACTTTAAAAAAATTAGTGAGTATAGTAAAATGCACCCCCAAATACCCCGTCACGTAGTGCTACCAGTTAATAGCTCCTGGCCATCATTTCATTTACACCCCATACATTCCAACTGGGTTACTCCAAGTGGATTACAAATTCATATCCCCCCAAGTCCCCCAACTTGATTATTTGGAAACAAATCCCAGACATGTCATCCATAAATATTTCATTAGATTTCTAGGCAAAGAAGTCTCTTTATCTGACAAACTTTTAATTCATATTTTACTATAATTGCTAACATTTAGTTAAAAAGACAAAACATAACATACTATTTTCATGCCTTATAAAGTATAACAATTCCTTACTGTCATATACATAGCCAGTGTTCATATTTCCCTGTGTGTAGCAAACAAAGCGTTTGGTTGATTTATTCCTTAAGCCTTTCAAGTTAGATTCCTTCTTATTTTCTTGCCATTTATTTGAAAAAAGTGTGTCATTTGTCCAATAGAGTTTCTAGATCTGTTTGACTGTATCCTTGGTGGTTAATGTGTTCTCTTATTTCAGTTTCCTATAATCTGGTATTTAGGTCTAGAGGCTTGATCAAATTCCAGCTTTATTTTATTTTTTTGAGACTTCTTCATAGATGGCTCTGTAGACTTCATCAGAGGCATGTAATGTCTCTTCTGTGATACCAACAGCCAATGAACAATGTCTAGATCAGCCGTGGGCAAACTACAGCCCGCGGGCCAGATCCGGCCCGTTTGAAATGAATAAAACTAAAAAAAAAAAAAAGACCGTACCCTTTTATGTAATGATGTTTACTTTGAATTTACATTAGTTCACACAAACACTCCATCCATGCTTTTGTTCCGGCCTCCGGTCCAGTTTAAGAACCCATTGTGGCCCTCGAGTCAAAAAGTTTGCTCACCCCTGGTCTAGATTCACAATTTCTTAGGATTTCAAAGTGGAGATATTCTGTATCATTCAAAGAAATATTACATTTGAAGCCTCTTTCAACATCCTGACGGTGAAGGCCTCGCCTTGGAGGGAAGAGGGCCTCCATGCCCTGAATCTGCCCTGGCGGGGGAGGCATGTAAGTCATTCCACACCTGCTGGAGGTCTAAGGTCTGGCCAAGCTAACGGTTGGCTTTGCTGTGTTTAATAGCCCTGCTAAACGGAGATCCGAGGAAGACCCTGGAAGAGCCCATGTGGACAGTTCTGGCGATGAAGAAGAAAAAGAGCAGGTAGAGCTAGTGCTAAAGTTTCTTCACTTCCTTTTTTGGGTACATTTGCTGGTAATTGTGACTTTATACTTGGTCTGTCTAATAGACTTACAGTGACTGAGAAGATGTTAGAATGTATCCCTGGACCCAGGCAAGGCAGCCCCATCCAGAAACGCTGGAGTCTTTTTTTCTTGTTTTCCTTCCTACCTCTAGGGCCCTTCAGTCCACAGGCGGACGCTCTGTCCACTGAGCCGAACCAGATAGGGCCCTCTGTTTTTGGGGGGGCTTTTGTGTGTTTTGTTGTTGTTGTTTTTGTCTGTTTTTGGCAAAAATGAGACTTTTAATAACTTTCGAAGCAGGCGCCCATTTTACAGAATCACTATTTTTTTAAAATATATATTTTATTGATGTTTTACAGAGAGAAGGGAGAGGGATAGAGAGTTAGAAACATTGATGAAAGAGAACCATCGATCAGCTGCCTCCTGCACAATCCCTACTGGGTATGTGCCCGTAACCAAGGTAGATGCCCTTGACTGGAATTGAACCTGGGACCCTTGAGTCCGCAGGCCGACGCTCTATCCACTGAGCCAAACCGGTTAGGGCACTATTTTTGATATCAGAGAGGAAGGGAAAGGCAGAGAGAGAGAGAAACATCAATGATGAGAATCATTGATCAGCTCCTGCCTGCCCCCTCCCCCTGCCCCCAACCAAAGATCGAGCCTAGAACCTGACCATGTGCCCCAACCGGGAATCCCACTGTGACCTCCTGGTTCATAGGTCAATGCTCAGCCACTGAGCCACGCCAGCTGGGCCCCCTCTATTTTTATGAGTAAAGCTTTACTGGAACAGTCATGCCGTTTCATTTACATATTGTCTCTGGTTGCTTTTGTGCTGCAGAAACAGAGTTGAGTGGTTGTGGCACAGACCATGTGTCCTACAAATCTGAAATTTTGTTCTAGGCCTTTTTCAGAAATAGTTTCCAACTCTTTTTTTTTTTTAAATATATTTTATTGAGTTTTTACAGAGAGGAAGGGAGAGAGATAGAGAGTTAGAAACATCGATGAGAGAGAAAGATCCATCAGCTGCCTCCTGCACAACCCCCAGCAGAGATTGAGGCTGAAACCCGAGTGTATACTCTGACTGGGAATCAAGTGGCAACCTCTCGGTGTATGGGACGCCGCCCAACCAAGCTACACCAGCCGGAGCAGCAATCTGGTTTTAACAAGCCCTGCAAGGGATTCTGGTGCAGGCTCAAAGTTGAGAAACTACCACTCTAAGATTCTGATAGGAGCACCATGTACTCACCCGCTATCATCTCCTCACAGCTGCTCTGGCTGACCACTCATCCCAGCAGGGCTCTCCTTGCCACCATTCCAAACAAATGCATTTTTTTCCCTTAGCTTCCAGCAGCGCTCATCAGGCCCTTCCACATCTGAGGGGTCACAAGGGGCTTCTGAAAGCCTCGTTTCAGGATTACACGTTAGCAATGTGCCTTTAGAGCCACCGTGACATGGGGCTCTCTTGGATGGGAAGAATCTGTTTCCCAGATGTATTCTGAATATTTTGCTTTTTCATTAAGAGGTGTTTGTTGTTTGTTGCAAGCTGTCGATACGGTTAGTTTTTCTGAGCTAATACTCGGCATATATCTGTTGAACCAGCAGAGCTGCCAAACGGAAATCTGAGAAAGATTCACAGGATTCTGACGGAAAAGATGAGGATGAAAAGGTAAGGCCTTGTTTTTCCACTGTTACCACGTTTTATACATCCCATTGGCTGGAATGATAAAGTGGCGTTTTAAAAGTTGCTTTTTTGTGCCCTGGCTGGTGTGGCTACGTTGGTTGAGCATAGTCCCATGCACCAAAAGGTCATCAGTTCTATTCCTGGTCAGGGCACATGCCTGGGTTGCAGGCTAGATCCCCGGTAAAGGGCATGTAGGAGGCAGCTACTCAGTGTTTCTCTCACACATGGATGTTTCTCTCTCTCTCTTTCTGTCTTCCTCTCTAAAATCAATGAAAAAAAATTTTTTTAATTGCTTTTTTGTTATGAAAATATTCAAACATACCAAAAAGTAAGCAGAATAGGGTAGGAAACTCTCATAGTCTCATCATCCTCCAAAAATTATCGTCTCGTGACTGAATGTGTTTTAGCCAACCCTCACTCATTCTTATTACCTTCTCCACTCCGATGATGAACAAATCCCAGATATCATTAAAATGTTGACAGAACAGCCCTGGCTGGTTTGGCTCAGTGGATAGTGTGCGTTGGCCTGCGAACTAAAGGGTCCCAGGTTCAATTCTGGTCAAAGGCACATGCCCGGGTTGCAGGCTCAATTCCCAATAAGGGGCGTGCAGGAGGCAGCCAGTCAGTGATTCTCATCATTGATGTTTCTATCTCTCTCCCTCTCCCTCCCTCTCTGAAATAAATAAAAATATATTTTAAAAATATTTACAGAACTGCTTATAAAAGGAAAGGACTCTTTGTTGTTAATCCTCCCCTGAGGATATAGATAGATAGATATATATATGAGTGGAAGAGAGGACTGAGAGAAACAAACACATCGAGTCAAGTGTACATTTCTATGATACATGATTTGTGTGTTGCACTGTGTGCCCACCATCCAAAGTCAAATTATCTTCCCTCATCCTATATATGACACCCTTTACCTTTTACTAACCCTCTCCCTCACTGCCCTTCCCACCATCCTGAACTAACTTTTTGTTGTTGTTGTCAGTCCTTACCTGAGGCTATTTTTCCATTTTTTTAGAGAGAGAGTGGAAGGGATGGGGAGAGCTAGAGAGAGAGAGGGAGAAAGATCGATGTGAGAGAGACACACTGATTGGTTGCTTCCTGCATGCATCCCAACAAGGCCAGGGATCGAGTCAGCAACCAAGGTTCTATCCTTTGACTGGAATTGAACCCAGGACCCTTCAGTCCTCGGGCTGATGCTCTATCCACTGAGCCAAACCAGATAGGGCCCTCTGCTGTCTTTTTTTTTTTTTTTTTTTTTTTTTAATATTTATTGATATCAGAGAGGAAGGGAGAGGGAGGGATAGAAACATCAATGATGAGAGAATCATTGATCAGCTGCCTCCTGCACATCCCCCCACCAAGGATCGAGCCCACAACCTGGCCATGTGCCCCAACCAGGAATCGCACTGTGACCTCTTGGTTCATAGGTCAATGCTCAGCCACTGAGCCACACTGGCCGGCCGAGCCACTCTGTCTATTTTTATAAATAAAGCTTTACTGGAACACAGTCATGCCGTTTCATTTACATATTGTCTGTGGTTGCTTTTGTGCTGCAGAAGCAGAGTTGAGTGGTTGGAGCACAGACCATGTGGCCTACAAATCTGAAATGTTTTAGGCCTTTTTCAGAAATAGTTTGCCAACTCCTAATCAACTCTTGGTTGTAGAGTGTAGGGAGCTGAGTTAAAAATTTGAAGCCTCATCTCTACCCAATGTATCTGCCCAGAACTTCTGTTGTCTAGTTCCACATACTGCAGTCACTAACTGATACTTCAGGTTTGGCCTAGGTCAGTGATGGCGAACCTTTTGAGCTCGGCGTGTCAGCATTTTGAAAAACCCTAACTTGACTCTGGTGTCGTGTCACATACAGAAATTTTTTGATATTTGCAACCATAGTAAAACAAAGACATATTTTTGATATTTATTTTATATACTTAAATACCATGCAGCGCTCATCAGGCCCTTCCACATCTGAGGGGTCACAAGGGGCTTCTGAAAGCCTCGTTTCAGGATTACACGTTAGCAATGTGCCTTTAGAGCCACCGTGACATGGGGCTCTCTTGGATGGGAAGAATCTGTTTCCCAGATGTATTCTGAATATTTTGCTTTTTCATTAAGAGGGTTTGTTGTTTGTTGCAAGCTGTCGATACGGTTAGTTTTTCTGAGCTAATACTCGGCATATATCTGTTTAACCAGCAGAGCTGCCAAACGGAAACCTGAAAAAGATTCACAAGATTCTGACGGAAAAGATGAGGATGAAAAGGTAAGCCTTGTTTTTTCACTGTTACCACGTTTTACACATCCTATTGGCTGGAATGTTAGAGTGGCTTTTTTAAAGTTGCTTTTTTGTGCCCTGGCTGGTGTGGCTCAGTTGGTTGAGCGTAGTCCCATGCACCGAAAGGTCATCAGTTCTATTCAGTTCTATGCCTGGGTTGCAGGCGGCTAGATCCCTGGTCAGGGGTGTGTAGGAGGCAGCTACTCAGTGTTTCTCTCACACATGGATGTTTCTCTTTCTTCCTCTAAAATCAATAAAAACATTTTTAATTGCTTTTTTTATTATGGAAATATTCAAACATTCCAAAAAATAGGCAGAATGTGAGGGTAGGAAACTCTCACATTCTCAACCTTCAACAAATATCGTCTTGTGGCCGAAACCGGTTTGGCTCAGTGGACAGAGCGTTGGCCTGCGGACTGAAAGGTCCCAGGTTCGATTCCGGTCAAGGGCATGTACCCTGGTTGCGGGCACATCCCCAGTAGGAGATGTGCAGGAGGCGGCTGATCGATGTTTCTCCCATCGATGTTTCTAACTCTCTATCTCTCTCCCTTCCTCTCTGTAAAAAATCAGTAAAATATATTTAAAAAAAGAAAATATCGACTTGTGACCAAATATGTTTTAGCCAACAAATCCCAGATATATTATTAAAATATTTACAGAACTTATAAAAAGAAAGGACTTTTTTTGTTGATGTTTTGTTAATCCAACTCCTCAGATATTTTTCAATTAATTTTCTTTTTTTAAGAGTGGAAGGGATTGGGGGCGTGGGGAGAAACATCGATTGACTGCCTCCTGCATGTTCCCCAACCAGGACTGGGGACTGAGTGTGCAACCCTGGTATGTGCCCTTGACCAGATTGAACCCGGGACTCTTCAGTCCACTAGCTGACGCTCTATCCACTGAGCCAAACCCAATAGGGTGGAAAGAACTCTTTTTAAACTTTGGCACAGTCTCATCATCATAACAATGATATTGAGGTGTAGTTTTGTTCAAACTTCCCTGCTAGTCTCCATGTGTTTTTTGTGTATTTTTAAAATTTTGTGTGTGTGTGTGTGTGTGTGTGTGTGTGTGTGTGTGTGTTTAATTGGTCTCAAGTCTTTTAAGGAAGTCTTTGGTTATAAGGATTTTGATAAGACTACACACTGGAGGTGGCTCTGGTCTCTCTGGTTCTTTGCCTTCTTCCCTACCTCTGACTAGGTGTTTGTTTTTAATGTTTTTGTTTATTTTTAGATAGAGAGGAAGGGAGAGTGAGAGAGACTGAGTGGGGGAGAGTGAGAGAGATAGAAACATCGATGGGCTGCGTCTTGCACGCCCCCGCTGGGGATTGAGCCTGCAACCAGGGCATGTGCCCTGACCAGGAATCGAACCGGTAGCCTCTTGGTGCATGGGATGATGCTTAGTCGCTCAATCCACTGAGCCACACCAGCCAGACTTGACTAGGTTTTGTGATAACCACATATGTAAAATTCTTAACTCTGAAGCATGATGCAGATGTAAAAATACTTTCTTAGTCTTCACTCCAATTTTCCATTTAGGAGGAGAAGAGACGCAGATCGACATCCAAAGATCCGTAAGAACTTATTTTTGTCTTTATACGTGGCAGGTAATAATATTACAGTAATGGTTCTAGAAAAGAAAAGAGGTTTTTAGTGACTTGCCAGACTTGCCTTAGCTGTAAGTCTGATAGGTTGGGTCTGTGAGCACAGGACCAAGACGTTCCAATTCTTCCCAGTGAGGCAGGTCCCCTTCGTGTGGTAAAGAGACACTTGTGACCTAGCACCTTGCCCCTTAGGCAGCCTGGTCATCATCTGTGGCAGGAGGTTTAGGCATGACTTTGACAGTGGATTCTGATAGTTTCTTTTTCCAGTCATTTCAGAACGTATCTTGTGTTTTGTTTTGTTTTCCCACAGTGATGAGAAAAAAGTAGCTCAAGCCAAAACAGTGCTGTCTCCCAAGGTAAACATGATCTGGGGGTAAAACGGGTAGCACAGCACTGATGGGGCCGCCTAGAGCCGGCTCTCTGAGCACCGTTTGTGTCCTGTCCCCACAGAACCAGCTTCAAAAGTGCCTTCAGTGTGGACAGTATCTGGATGACCCTGAGCTAAAGTACGAACATCATCTCCCGAATGCAGTAAGTTCCGGCTCTACCTTCACCTTTTTCTTTTCCCGTCCCTTATCCCTCTGCTTAATGGTCCTATGTCTCTCAGGTGGACGAGGTACCCATGTTGACAAATGAAAGACTGTCCATCTTCGATGCCAATGAATCTGGCTTTGAGAGTTATGAATATTTTCCTCAAAACAGACTGACATGCTTCAGGTACTGATACGCTTCTTCATTGTGACAGGGCACTTCCCTAAAGATGTCCACGTTCTTAATATCTCTAGCACCTTACGTGCAACCGTTCTTATGCTGCTAACACTAGATGGATAAAAGCCACAAAGCCCTGGTGGAAGTATAGTAGATATTTGCTGGGGGTCGGGGTATTTTTGTGGGGGAGGATGTTAAAACTATACATGTTAAGTCTTCAGTTTGTGTATATTCTGGAGGTCATTCATTCAAATGAGGGCCGGCTTTGTGCTAGGTACTGTACTAGGTGTATGAATATAGCACTTCAGGTCCCTGCTTTCATAGAGGCAGAACAAAAGTTATGCCTGTCAAGTAGTTACAACAACAACACAAGTAAAAAGCATGGAAAGCACAAAGTGGATAGGAGAAAGAAGTTGTGTTTAGAATGGTAGGGAGCCCTGGCCATTGTGGCTCAACTGATGGAACATCTTGTGTACCAAAAGGTTGCGGGTTCGATTCCCAGTCAGGGCACATACCCAGGCTGCCAGTTTGATCCTCAGTCGGAATGCGTTTAGGAAGCAACTGGTCAATGTTTCTCTCTCCCTTCTCTCTAAAAAAAAAAAAAATGGTGGGGAAATGACTTCAGCAAAGACTCAGTGGCATAAGAGAACAGGCCAAGGGAATAACTAGGAAAAGACACCTCAGGAGGAGGGAACAGCAGGTACAAAGGCTCAGAGGTGGGCATGTGTTGGCAATGGAAGACTCAAGTGATGAGGCTGGTGGGGCTAGGGCAGGGGTGGGCAAGGGCCACAATGGGTTCTTTTTTTTTTTTAATATGTTTTATTGATTTTTTTAGAGAGGAAAGGAGAGAGATAGAGAGTCAAGCATCAACATGAGAGAAACATCGGTTGGTTGTCTCTGTACCTTGACTAGGAATCAAACCCGCAACCTTTTGGTCTACAAGATGATGATGCTCCAGCATGGATGGAGTGTTTGTGTGAACTAATATAAATTCAAAGTAAACATCATTACATAAAAGGGTACAGTCTTTTTTTTTTAGTTTTATTCATTTCAAACGGACCGGATCCGGCCCGCGGGCCGTAGTTTGCCCACAGCTGGGCTAGGGGGTGCCAGGGTGTGGAGTGAGAGGTAGGGGATGTAGGCAGGGGCCTGGGGAGAGGGCTAGATCATACAGGGCTTTGCAGGCCGTGGCATTGACTCCAGGATTTCCTCTGATCCATGGTGTGTGGACTCTGTCTTTGGCAAGGCTCAAACACACCCTTGAGTGAACAGAGCCCCATGCTTTTCAGCACCTTTCAATTTAGTCAGCTCCCTCTTGCTGAAAGTGCAGTTGCTTTGTGCAAAACAGGCTTCACTTTGTTTCTTCGTGGTGACTCGGCTGTGTACCGGCCCATGTCTCTTTCAGGCCGAGGCACATGCTGTTTCTCTTCCTGAAGAAGTATCATAGGGACAATGGGTCACCTCATTAATACCTATCGTAAGCCTCGGGTGGACGTCAATGCTGGGAAGCCCTTTCTGACACCCTTGCCCCATAGCAGGTTGAGGGGTTCCTATGCCCTGGGACAAGACCCCAGTGTTTCTTCTGTGGCACTTCTCACACTCCCTGTGGTGGATTGGTTGTATGCCTTTCTCCCAATACAGTCAGGATTCTGGTCCATTTTGGGATGCTGTTCATCTACCGGCGACCCCCAGGGCCTGGCCCAAACCTCTGCCTGATGGCACAACCAAATTTGCTGTGTTGATGTAGCTGGCGTCCACGCCCTTGTGCCTTCCTGTGGCATTCCTCAGGCCAGCGGCTGGAAGAGGACTAGCTGAAGCCAGGGCTGCTGGAGTCCCTTGGCTTCCTCGAGACATGGCGTGCTGTAGATTCATTCCTGTGTGGTCGGGGGTAGCAGTAAAGACATTTCCCAGGAGAAATGTGCCTTTTAGCACCAGGCCGTCGGAGCCAGACTGCCTGAGTTAGTAAGGGACTCTGCTTACCTCTGGTACTTGGGCTGAATGTGGTGGATGGGAACAAATCAGGAGAGGTCAATCCTGTAAACCAGAGGGTCCTGCCCCTGCCTAGGACTTGGAACTTCTTTGATGTCACGTCTACAGTCCAGTGGGCTGGGCTGTGGATCCTTGTTTTCTGTGGGTTTGCAATATGTGCCCTCCCTTGATATGTGTCCATATTTCCCACTGGACTTCAAGTCTCGAGAGCAGGGCTGTTACCATGTTGTCTCCCATGCCTGGCACGGGAGGAGCTCAACTCACGGTGTTCATTTCTATTTTTAAAAAGGTTTTGTGAGATTTCAAGATGAGGATTTCTGGCCTCCAAGCCCTGACACTAGGGGAGTGTGGTGGGAGATGGTCTCAGGAGACCTGTACAGGTCCCATGTGGCCCACCGGTGACTCAGGGATAGCATGGCATCTCCAGTGTAGGAGCATAGACCTTGAGGCCAGCATGGTCCATAAGCAGAACCCCTGAATTATCCTGCTGACTCCAGGGCGTATCTGGCCCTTCTGAGCACTCTTCCTACTGTCAAGGAGTGTCTCTGGATGGTGGGACCGTGGATGTCCTTAAACCTGAACTTTACCCCTAGACAGAGGCGGAAGCCCTTCCTTCACATATCCCTGATGTGCCTCACTTTTTATGACATTATACAATATGCTTTACTTGATTAAACATAAAACTAACCATATAAGAAATATTTTCAGAGGTAAATCCATAGAAACAGAAAGCAGATCTGTGGTTGCTGGAGGTGGAGAGGGAATAGGGAGTGACTGCTTAATGGGTATGAGGTTTTATTTTGTTCAATGAAAATGTTTTGGAGCTAGGTAGAAGTGGTCGCACAACTATGAGTAGAATGTGTTTGAGAGCTGATGTTTCTGTTAGCATCATGCCAAGCGCGGGTGCAGTGAGTTGCTCTCTGAGATTTCTCATCATTCACTGTCTCACTGATCTCTTGGTGTTGCCTTTGCAGATGCTTGTACTTTTTTTATTTTTTAATAATTTTATTGATATTAAAATGTATTTGGAAAGAGATAGAGACATCAATAATGAGAAAGAATCATTGATCGGCTGCCTCCTGCACATACACCCACCACCACTCCCCGCCCCCACCCCCCAACTGGGGATCGAACCAGTAACCCAGGTATGTGCCCTGACCAGGAATCCAATCATGACCTCCTGGTTCATAGATTGACGTTCAACCACTGAGCCACACCAGCCGGGCTACCTGTATTCTTGATGCACCGGTGGGAGGATGAGGTAGAAGCTGTTTGGGTCAGAGAACACTACTCATCTAGTGATCTGGCAGCCAGAAAGATAAGAGTCTAGGAATTGCAGGTAGTCACTGTCACTTGTGTCTGAACTTGACTCTGCTGCAGCTTGCCTTCACTGGTCAGCTGGCTAACACGCTCTTTGTTGCCCGTCTAGTGTGTACTGTAAACATGGTCACCTGTGCCCCATTGACACTGGACTCATTGAGAAGGATATTAAGCTCTACTTTTCGGGTTCAGCAAAACCGATATATGATGATGACCCGTCTCCTGAAGGTAAGTGGAACTTCCCTGCTTATGTTTGGGACAGATATTTTAAAAACGAACAACTCGCCTGCAAAGCACTGTTCAGCTGGAATTCCTGCCTCTTAAAGTTAGGGCTTGCAGTCTCTGAACAGCCATAAGGAAGTGCTCTCTGCCTCTGAGGACTGCCTGGCTTGGCTGATAAGGGATGTCAGCTCAGCTGGGCACTTCGAGTGCCACTTGGGCTGCTGAGATTTTGATATGGGTCATAGCTCTGAGTCCATTTCCTTTCAAGAAACTGTCCTCTTTTCCATCTCGTAGGTGGTGTTAATGGCAAAAACCTTGGCCCCATCACTGAATGGTGGATCACTGGCTTTGATGGAGGTGAAAAGGCCCTCATTGGCTTTAGCACGGGTAAGTATGTGCTAACTGGACTGTTCTGGGTTATGAAAGGAGACTTTGCTTCTGTCCTCCCGGGAGCTTGGTTGGGCTTTGGGACGTCTCAACAAGCTCACGTGAACACCACTAAACATGTGGTAATCATGTGGGCTTCTGGGATGGCCTCTCCTATTAATTACAACCAGCCTTGGAATCAACCCTCTAGTTATACGAATAGGTCATATTCTTGCAACTCAAATCCAGGCAAAATTTCAAAAGCCAGAGATGAGCGAAATGAAAACTCCTCAGCCAGTTCTCTACTCGGCTCAAATAGGCCACTCATGAATGCGCTAATAATTCTGATTGCACTTGATGTTTGTGACATTTGGGTATGGAATGACTTAGACCAGTGGTGGGCAAACTGCGGCTCGCGAGCTACATGTGGCTCTTTGGCCCCTTGAGTGTGGCTCTTCCACAAAATACTGACTTCTGCGCATGGGCCACGAAGTTTCAATCGCACTGTATGTGTGCATCCGCACGTGGTATTTTGTGGAAGAGCCACACTCAAGGGGCCAAAGAGCCGCATGTGGCTCGAGAGCTTCAGTTTGCCGACCACTGACTTAGACTCCTCATAAGCTTCATAGACTCATCTGTGCTCTTCAGCCACCATAGCTGCCATCAGGTTCAAACTGCTTTCTAACAACATCTTCTGTTCACTGTAGCCTATGCTGAATACATTCTAATGGAGCCCAGCCCAGAGTACTCACCAATGTTCAGCTTAATGCAGGAGAAGATCTACATAAGTAAGATAGTCGTTGAGTTCCTGCAGAACAACCGTGATGCGACCTATGAGGACCTGATCAATAAGATTGAGGTACGGGGTTAGGTCATTTGTGATCTGGGACTCGCACCTTTTACATGCTATATAGATATTACTGAGAAACTCATGTCTAGAATTAGCAGAAACTTTTTTAGTTCAATTAGAATAGTTTTGCTTAAGCCTAAGAAACTTCTGATGTTATTTCTTAAAGACCACGGTTCCTCCTTCCACGCTCAACCTGAATCGATTCACTGAGGATTCTCTCCTTCGACATGCTCAGTTTGTGGTGGAACAAGTAGAGAGTTACGATGCGGCTGGGGACAGTGATGAACTGCCCATCTTCCTGACCCCCTGCATGAGGGACTTGATCAAGTTGGTTGGGGTCACCCTAGGAAGAAGGTAAGGATGCAGCAGGAAAAAAATTGAAGACCTGATTGCAGAGAAGGCAGAGTGTCCCATGCACTCTTCCCCAGCCTGCTAACATGATGGGAACCTTTCTCCCAGAAACGAAAAACGTCGAGCCATCAGTCATTCCACCAAGGAGAAGGACAAAGGCCCCACAAAAGCGACCACCACCAAGCTGGTCTACCAGATCTTCGACACTTTCTTCGCAGAGCAAATCGAAAAGGATGACAGAGAAGACAAGGAGAATGCCTTCAAACGCCGGCGGTGTGGCGTCTGCGAGGTAACCTGGGCTGGGCTCACCATGTAATCTGAGCAACTCGCTTTCTCTTTCTGGCTTGAGATGCTCACTGTTCAAATGTGACCCCTAGGACATAAGCTGGGAGGAAGTTGGTGATCTGGGGAGAACTGCATGCCTCGGAGAACAAACAGGTTGATAAGACGGCTGTTGAAATTGGTGTGCTGGGATGCTTTGCTGTTAATGCCCCGATCACTAATTCGGGTCACTGTTCAATTCCTGGCCAAGGCACATGCCCGAGTTGTGGGCTCAATTCTCAGTGTGGGGCATGCAGGAAGCAGCCGATCAGTGGTTCTCTCTCATCACTGATGTTTCTCTCTCTCTCTCCCCCTTCCTCTCTAAAGTCAATTAAAATATATATATAAATAATTGTTTAATTGTACTCCAACCCCTGGTATACTAAGAAACAACCCATGCTTCAACTTTGGAATCATGCCATCACTGCAGCTGATCGATGTTTCTCTCTCATCGATGTTTCTAGCTCTCTATCTCTCTCCCTTCCTCTCTGTAAAAAATCAATAAAATATATTTTTTAAAAAATAAATAAAATAAAATAAAAAATAAAAAACAAACCTCTTTCTGTGAATTTTAAATATTTGAGTCCCCCTAATCTTCTGTGACCCAGAGATCGGATATATTTTGGTATCTGTTATTTGACTTATTTTGGACGAACACTTGGATGCAAAAATATAGCAGCTACCTTTAGAACCGCCCTGTGTTCGCACTGTCCACTGGATTCAGAGCTTTTTTTTTTAGTGGCAGCCCTTAACAGGAATTTGCACATCCTTACCATTCGTGTGTTGGTTTTACTTTTTTTTCATCTAGCACGTGTATTTAAGCCTTAAAATTTTTTTTAAATATACATAACTGGTATTTTTTGTAATCATGTTAATGTGTTCATGTAGGTAGATCTAGTTCATTTTGACTATTTTATCATGCTGCATTATATGATAGTCCCAACTTGCCCCTCGATAATGTGCAACTTCTGATATTAGAAATCATGATATAGCAGCATCCTTGAACGAGACTTCAGTGTCTACCCCTATTTCTTTTAAAATTTTTTGTTAATCCTTACCTGAGTGTATATATATATTTTTTCCCATTGATTTTTATTTATTTATTTTTTGGAAAATGGGAGGGGGAAAGAGAAGGAAACATTGACGTGAGAGATGCACATCGATTGGTTGCCTCTGCACATATCCTAAACGAGGGGCGGGGTTGAGCCTGCAATCAAGGTATGTGCCCTTGACCTGAATCAAACCCAAGACCCTCCAGTCTGCGGGCCGATGCTCTAACCACTTAGCACGCCAGCTAGGGCTGCCCCTATTTTGAAGTAGAATTGCTGGGGTGTGGGTTCTATACTTGACTTTGATATAGAAAACTGCTCTCCAAGTGGTGCTACCAACTTAAAACCTGTGAGCAGAGCCAGTTTCCCCACATGTTTCAAAACCAACATACCCAGCTTAACCTTTGCTATTCTGGGGGGTGTATGACTGGTACCTTGTTCTTAACTCTTCAGTTCCCTTACCTCTAAATGAGGCTAAATATAAAAGTTCTAAAATTGTAATTCATTCAAAACCTGGTTACCAGTTGTTACTAATGGTCATTTGACTTTTTAAATATCTTTCAGGTTTGTCAGCAGCCCGACTGTGGAACGTGTAAAGCCTGTAAGGACATGGTTAAGTTCGGTGGAAGCGGCCGGAGCAAACAAGCCTGCCTAAAGAGGAGGTAGGCTTGGTGGGTGCTTGTCTGGTAGCAAAGGACAGTGCCGGCTGAGGGCCGTGCGCTGTGTGTGGGTAACTGTGACATGGGCAGGACAGGCAGCAGTGCTTCATCTCGAATGGTCCCCAGGCCTGTCCTGTTATCGGACCCCCACAGCCCCAGGCAGTTTTACTTATAAAAAGGGTATTGCTTATACATGTGAGTTTGTAGGTGTCCCAACATGGCCATGAAGGAGGCAGATGACGACGAAGAAGAGGATGACGATATCCCAGAGATGCCGTCGCCCAAAAAAATGCACCAGGGGAAGAAAAAGAAACAGAACAAGGACCGGATCTCTTGGATTGGAGAGGCTGTTAAGGTAATCCCGCAGCAGGTTCTCCGTCTTCTTACGGCCGCCCTCCTGGGAAGCATGTTGTTTCCTGGTGTCTCGTCACCAGGCCTCTTAAGCAGCCTGAATCCTGCACGCTTGCCTCGTGAGAGAGCAAGGCCATGGTCCAGGCCCGTGGCCACACACAAGAAATGTGTTTTTGTTTGTCTGCCCAAAGACTTGGTTTCCTTCAAGTTCCAAAATGGGTAATGGACACAGTTTAAGGGTGTCAGGCTGCTTCCCCTTCAAAGCTCGTTTTGAAGAGTTGTCACCATCTCTTGCCTGGGAGTGGCTGTCTTTTGGGCACTAGCAGATCCCTTACTGGTCATTCTGTGGTCATCTCCCCATCTAAGGCTCAGTTCTTTTACCAAAGTTAGAAAGCGAATGTCCTAAGCCAGTGATGGCAAACCTTTTGAGCTCGGCGTGTCAGCATTTTGAAAAACCCTAACTTACCTCTGGTGCCATGTCACATATAGAAATTTTTTGATATTTGCAACCATAGTAAAACAAAGACTTATATTTTTGATATTTATTTTATATATTTAAATGCCATTTAACAAAGAAAAATCAACCAAAAAAATGAGTTCGCGTGTCACCTCTGACACGCGTGTCATAGGTCTGCCATCACTGTCCTAAGCACTGCTTTCTCGATGTTCATAAGCAAAAGATACAGTCGGTTCATTCAGCAAGCGTGAGGCCTCCCTCTGCTGGGTGCTGCTTCAGGCCTGGATGTGACTCAGCCCCTGCCCTGTGGTGTTCATGCTCCAGGGCAGGAGGACAGACACATGTCCCCTGGGCTGGTAGAGAGGTGGGAGGGGCCTGGGGCCGTGAGGCTTTCCTAAGGAGGTGACAGCTGAGCTGAGACCCAGAAGGTGGGAGAGGAACAGTCCCATGAAGATGTGGGGAAGAACCAGGGCAGAGGCCCTGAGGTGGGATCAGTTCTTGTGGGAGAAGAGGAATGAGGCGGAAAGGAACCAGGATGGGATGTGCCTTTAAGACCACAGTGAATAGTTGGGACTGGTGCTATTAACCTGGAATGTTGGGCTCTGATTTGCTGCTGACTGGCCAGGGCGGAGCTGATAGTAGACAAACAGTAGGCGTGCTTCCAGCCTAGGGAGTGGGGTGTTCTCTAGGAGCCAGGGCAGTAGCCATGCCTTCTTAACGAGATCATTATGCGTTATGCCTTTATATTAACAAGAACACCAAACCTAGCATGGACCTTCAAACCCATCTCCACCTGAAATAAGCTCTTTGTTTTCAGACTGATGGCAAGAAGACTTACTATAAGAAGGTGTGCATTGACTCAGAAACCCTGAAAGTGGGGGACTGTGTCTCTGTTATTCCAGATGACTCTTCAAAGCCACTGTACTTAGCAAGGTTTGTATATTTCCCTTTGCTTGGCCTCAGCACACACTTTCTCTTGAGCGTGTAGGAGATGCCTATTTGCAAGAATAGCAGCAGCAGGTCTTTGCTCGAGACAAACTAAAAAAAAAAAGTTCCCAAGTAAACTCGAAGCAGATCTGCCGGTGAAGTTAGAACTTCCTTCCCTTCTGCTCTTCTGACACCAGGGTCACGGCGTTGTGGGAGGACAGCAGCCAAGGGCCGATGTTTCACGCCCACTGGTTCTGTGCCGGCACAGACACGGTCCTGGGGGCCACATCGGACCCCCTGGAGCTGTTCCTGGTAGACGAGTGTGAGGACATGCAGCTGTCATACATTCACAGCAAGGTGACGGTCGTCTATAAAGCTCCATCGGAAAACTGGGCCATGGAGGTGAGTACCTAGCGTGCCTCATGTGCCCTCCCTCACTGTGGGGTCATGCCTGACACAGCATCCTTGTCCCAAAGGGAGGCATGGATCCCGAGACCCTGATGGAAGAGGACAATGGGAAGACCTATTTCTACCAGCTGTGGTATGATCAAGACTACGCAAGATTTGAGTCCCCTCCAAAAACTGAACCAACTGAGGACAACAAGTACAAGTGAGTGCTGGTCACCTTCTCGGGGAGGACACCCTGCCTCTGTGTGAATCCCTGTAGCTTTTTTTTTTTTTAATATAGTTTATTGATTTTTTTACAGAGAGGAAGGGAGAGGGATAAAGAGCCAGAAACATCGATGAGAGAGAAACATTGATCAGCTGCCTCCTGCACACCTCCTACTGGGGATGTGCCCGCAACCAATGTACATGCCCTTGACCGGAATCGAACCTGGGACCCTTCGGTCCGCAGGCCGACGCTCTATCCACTGAGCCAAACCGGTTAGGGCGTCCCTGTAGCTTTTCACGTGCTTCCATCTGCTGGGTTTGCTTCCTGGACACTATCTGATTGTTTTCCTCGTTAATCCAAGACCAGCCTGGCTTTGAAAACTTTATTTTTTTTCATTTATTTCATGCATGAGGTTGTTGATGTTATATATTTTTTTTAATCCTCACCTGAGGACTTTTTTAAAGTCATTTTTTATTTTTAGAGAAGAAGGGAGGGAGAGAAACATTGATTGGTTACCTCCTATAGGTACTCTACTGGGGGGTGGAACCCACAACTTAGGTATGTGCCCTGACTGGGAGCCTGCAACCGTTTTGGTGTACGGGATGATGCTCCAACCAACTGAGTCACCCGTCAGGGCCCAGCCGGGCTTTGTTGCAGTGGCTTTAGGTGTATGGCTGGCCTGGGCATGGAGTTACCGTCATAAGAAGCTCTCTTGTCCAGGAGTAGGATTTATCTTTTCATTATCCGCCTTTTTGCATGTTCAGTGTCTATACCACAGATTTCATGTGTTTTCTTTTGTTTCTTAGGTATCTTCTAAGTGAGATCTTTGACTTCATTTTATTTTAACTGGTGGGTGACTGCTCTTAGGGAGTCTGCCTTTTAAGTCCTCACCCAAGGATATTTTTTCCATTGATTTCTAGAGAGTGTAAGGGAGGGGGGAGGGGGAGAGAGAGAAACATCGATTTGGAGAGACATATCAATTGGTTACCTCCAGCACACGCCCCTACTGAGGCTGGGGTATGTGCCCTTGACCAGGAATCCAATCATGGCCCTTCAGTCTAAGGCCCAATGCTCTAACCACTGAGAAAAACTGGCCTGGGCCTGATCTCCATTTTAAAGGCAGTCTCCAACTCTCCTTTAAGCAGAAATATTGAACTTCACCAAATACCTCTTCAGCTTTTATTAGCTAACTAGAGGCCCGATGCACGAAATTCGTGCAGAGGGCTCGGCCCCACTGCCGTGGTGGCTGCCTCAGCCCCCACCCACCCGCCATGGCTTCATCCAGAAGGACATCCAGTCTAATTAGCATATTATGCTGCTATTAGTACAGATCAGGGGTGGGCAAACTTTTTGACTCGAGGGCCACAATGGGTTCTTAAACTGGACCGGAGGGCCGGAACAAAAGCATGGATGGAGTGTTTGTGTGAACTAATATAAATTCAAAGTAAACATCATTACATAAAAGGGTACGGGCTTTTTTTTTTTTTTTAGTTTTATTCCTTTCAAACGGGCCGGATTCGGCCCGAAGGCCGTAGTTTGCCCACAGCTGGTATAGCTAGTGTGAGCCTGCTCTGATATTTTGAGTTCCTAAGTGAACCACTCTGTATTCTCGCTTCTAGTTTACTTTTTATCATATTCCAAATTCTGTTTGTTAATGTCTTAGGGTTTTTAGAGCAAATACTCAAAAGTGGGACAGGCTTAATGTTTTCTTGTGTCGCATATATCCCTGGACTTTGGTCCCAAATAAGTGCTTTCACAGTATGAGCATCAGGTACAGGAGAACCGGTTCCTTCAGACACCTGCAGGTGTTTTCTCTTGGTCACCAGCATCGCTGGGTGAAGCCAGCAGCTCTGCTGCAGCCACTACCTGCCATCTCAGGGCCTTTTCCTTTTGTCCTCGCTCCTTCAGATTCTGCGCCAGCTGTGCCCATCTGGTTGAGATGAAGCAGAAGGAAATTCCCAGGGCCCTGGAGCTGCTCGAGGACCTGGAGGACCGGGTTTTCTACAGCTCAGCCTCCAAGGACGGCATCCAGTACCGAGTGGGCGACGGCGTGTACCTTCTCCCGGAGGCCTTCACGTTCAAGTGAGTGCCCCCTTTGCCAGTTCCAGACCATGCTCCCTGGACCACTGCCGAGTTGCTTTGGAATATCCCCAGCCTGCACCCCTTGTACCAGGTGTTGTCTGGGCCATTGTCACTGGTCAGTCGTGCTGAACTACCCACTTTTTAAGGCTTAATGTTCAGTTATGTGTAATGTTTGCTACTCTGCAGCATTAAGCTGTCCAGTCCTATGAAACGCCCACGGAAGGAGCCTGTGAATGAAGACCTGTATCCAGAACACTACCGGAAATACTCGGACTACATCAAAGGCAGCAACCTGGACGCCCCTGAGCCATACCGAATTGGCCGCATCAGAGAGATCTTCTGTGTCAAGAAGAACAATGGCAAACCCAATGAGACAGACATCAAGATCAGACTGAACAAGTTCTACAGGTCGGTGGTGTCCTCTGCTCTCCCAGGAGGCAGCAGACTTCCAGAAAGTTCTGCCTGAAATGGATTATAACATAGCACACAGTGATGTTCGAAGAGCTAGGGAAAGCTCTAGCCAGTTTGTCTCGGTTATAGAGTGTGGCCCTCAGACTAAAGGGTTCCTGGTTCAATTCCAGTCAAGGCACCAGCAAATACCTCGGTTGCAGGCTCGATCCCTGGCCCCAATTGGGGTGCTCGTGAAACACAACAAATCAGTGTGTCTTTTGCATCAAAGTTTCTCTCTCTGTCTCTCCCCCTCCCTTCCACACTCTAAAACTCAATGGAAAAAATATCCTTGGGTGATATAAAAAAAAATTATGTAAAGGTAGCTGTTTCTCCAAGTGTTTCTGATGATCTGATGAGTGCTGACAGCGACTCAAATTATGTTTCATACCCTTGCTTTTAGACCTTACTTTAAAGCTGCTGAGTTCTATCTTCAAAGAAATCCTTAAGCCTCAATTCAGAATGTGACAAAGGCAGAGGGAGAATGTCCTGGGCTAGGCCTGAGGCAGCCCCAGAGAACCTGGGGTTCTGTTTATGACCATTCCACCCACTCTCCTGTCTCTCCCAGCTCTATGCTTTTCCAAGGTCTTGCTGCACCGAGTCTTTTTCTAGGACCCTAGTAATTTGTCGTAATTAGGAGTTAACCTGAAACTAAGCCATACAGATAGTTATAACGTTGCTTCACTTCTTGACTAATGTATATCAGAGACTTTCTGAAGTCCTTGTAATAAATAGGAGGCAGGCAGCCGCAGCCTGGGTTTTTTTTTTGGGGGGGGGGGGAGTTGTTTTTTAATTTATTTTTAGAGAGAGAAACGTCAATGTGAGAGCAGAACCTCACACCCCCTACCAGGGATTGAGCCCATAATCCAGGCATGTGCCCTGACTGGGAACCAAACCGGAAAACTTGTTGCACAGGATGATACCCAACCAACTGAGCTGGCCAGGGTGCAGCGATAGTCTTGACACAGGGCCATTCTGTCTGGGTGCAGTGGAGAAATGAAGAACGAGCAAATGACTCAACCTACAGAACTCCCTTAAGGTTTAATGTTGAGTTTTTCATAATGGTTAGCTTCTCCACAGCACCAAGCTGTCCAGTCCTGTGAAATGCCCACGGAAGGCATGGTTGTTGCAAAGAATTCCACTGTTTATAGTATCTAGTGCCAACTAAGGATAGTTATCAAGCTGACCTGATTGGGGGTCATGGTCTTTACCCATGGATTCTTGGAATATCCCCAGGAATGTGGTACCATTCAACTCATTGTCAGTTCACAGCAAAAGAGAATTGCTGCCCGGCTAGTGTGGTTCACAGGAGGTCACCGGTTGATTCCCGGTCAGCACACATGCCCAGGTTGTGGGCTTGATCCCCAGTAGGGAGTGTGCAGGAGGTAGCTGATCCATGTTTCTCTCTCAACAATGTTTCTCTCCCTTCCCCTTCCTCTCTATGAAATCAATAAAAAAAATGTTTTTGATTTAAAGAATTGCTTAACAAAGACTCTTCTGCTCGCAGGCCGGAGAACACCCACAAATCCACTCCAGCAAGTCACCATACAGACATCAACCTGCTTTACTGGAGCGACGAGGAGGCCGTGGTGGACTTCAGCGATGTGCAGGGCCGCTGCACTGTGGAATACGGGGAGGACCTACCCGGGTGCTTGCAGGACTTCTCAACTGGCGGCCCCGACCGCTTCTACTTCCTTGAGGTAATGCTCTGGGCTTACGGGAGGGACGGGTTTGGGTCAAATTCACTGCCCCTGAGAAAGCAGTTTAATTATACACTCAAGTCTGAAACTTAACTTTTGGCTTTTTGTTTTTCATTTATTTTATTTTTTAAAAAAATAAGCCTTTATTTGAGCTAAATTGACAGCAATTGCTGGGAAGCAGAGATCTCAAAGGCTTCCACATTTGGCTTTTTAAAATGTACGATGAACCCTGGCTGGTGTGGTTCAGTTGGTTGGGTGTTGTTCCATGCACCAAAAGATCTCTGGTTCGATTCCCAATCAGGACACAGGCCCCATGCCCTGGTTTCAGACTCAATCCCTGTTGGGGGTTGTGCAGGAGCAGCCGATCAATGTTTCACTCTCATTGATTTTTCTCTTTCTCTCCTTCTCTCTAAAAATTAATTTAAGGAAATACAAAAAGTACAATGATAAGTGTAGTATCTGAGTGTCCTAAGCAACTAACATGTATTTGAAGGCCTCTTCCAGCCTGGCCAGTGCCTTGATGTGAGTCAGGGAAAGGGCCCTTTCCCCAGGAGACACAGCCCTGCCCCTTAGTCCCTCAGCTGTGTCTGTGTCCAGGCCAGGACCACACGCCGTGCAGCTGGCCGTTGTTACTGAGAGAAGAGCCAGGAGTTTGTTAACTAAGCTGATCACTTTTAAATGGTCTGAGCATGGCCTTCTTGTGTGGGCACACTTAAAGTGACACGTGTCTGTTTTCCCAGGTTCCAGTGTAGGTAGCCTCATTAGACGAGCCTCTTGGTATAACACTTGCTTATTTTTAGAGTGAGTAGTCCAGGCACTTATAAAAGCAGGAATCTCAAAGTCAACCACGGAATATTTGTATTAATACAATTTATCTTCATGTAGTAAAATCAAAGTACTCTTATTAGTGGCTAATAGTTTATGGCCACATTCAGGGAGAAATTAAGTAGCTCTTTATCAAACTAACTTGTTAGAGAGGTGACCAATGTGTTTCTCTGCCAGACTGTTGTGATTCTTCCCTTCCCAGGCCTATAATGCCAAGAACAAAAGCTTTGAAGATCCTCCCAACCATGCCCGTAGCCCTGGAAACAAAGGGAAAGGGAAGGGAAAAGGTATGTTGTCACTCCATAGGGTTCTTTTCAACTCCATCTCTTATAACTTGGGATATGCATGATCAGTAGAAAACAGCCTCTGGTGCTACCTCATTCTGTGTTAATAACGCAGTGAGGCCGTCTCTGAAACAATAAGGTATTTGTGGTCTATCTCCTCCAGGGAAAGGCAGGCCAAAGTCTCAGACAAGTGAGCCAAAGGAACCCAAGGTGGACATTCAGCTGCCAAAACTGCGGACCCTGGATGTGTTTTCTGGTTGTGGGGGGTTATCGGAAGGATTCCACCAAGCAGGTAAAGGCCACAAGGTCTTTCTCTGTGAAACTAGCACAACCAGACGGGGCACATTCTGCCGGGACTAGCTTTCTGGCTCTGGTCACCTTTCTGACTCACGAGTCTCATTCCAGGGAGGTCAGAGCCCATCTTTGTCCCTTTATCTGCCAGGCATCTCACAGACACTGTGGGCCATTGAAATGTGGGACCCTGCGGCCCAGGCGTTCCGGCTGAACAACCCTGGGTCCACTGTGTTAGAGGTGACCAACTCCCTTGGCCAGAAGCTGCCTCAGAAGGGAGACGTGGAGATGCTGTGTGGCGGGCCGCCCTGCCAGGGCTTCAGTGGCATGAACCGCTTCAACTCTCGTACCTACTCCAAGTTCAAGAACTCTCTGGTGGTCTCTTTCCTCAGGTACGGGGCAGGTTCTGTTCAGTGTTGCACACAGGTAACTAGACAGCCAACCCCGGGGCTGGATGCTGATGTGCCCGCTGACCAGTAACTGCTGTAGCCTTTGCAGCGGCTGAAGGCCATGTGCCAAGGTGAAGCATTCCGCTGGTCAGAGTTGGGGGTCCTGTTTCTTGACGGCCAAACATTGACCTTTTGGGAATGGCTTTTGGTAGAGCGGGTCCTTTTTTATCTCGATCCACATGGTGACTTGGTGGTCTCGCCTGCCTTCTACAGCTACTGTGACTACTACCGGCCGCGGTACTTCCTCCTGGAGAACGTCAGGAACTTCGTGTCCTTCAAGCGCTCCATGGTCCTAAAGCTCACTCTCCGCTGCCTGGTCCGCATGGGCTATCAGTGCACCTTTGGCGTGTTGCAGGTGGGCTCCCGGGGAACGGGGCAGAGATGGGAGGTGAATGTGGGCGGGAGGAGGGTCAGCAGTCCCTGGACTGCACCAAACTGTCTCCAACTGAAAATAGCCTCAAAGGGTCAGGCCTGGGAGGACAGCCTGCTGACTGGCCAGGATAGGGCGATGGCTGTGAGGCCGCACCCACCCCTGTGAAGCCCGCAGCATTCAGGTCTGAAAGCTCAGAGCCAGTGTCCCAGCAGGCCCACCCCTTCGGGTCTTGGTAGAGCTGCATCCTCCTGTGTAACAGCAGGGGCTGCATGCAAGGGAGCTCTTGGCTGCTTTGTTTCCAGCCCTTTTTCCTGAATAGGGCACGGGGTGGACGAGTCTGATACTCGGGCAGCAGCTAGATCTCCACGGAGGGTGGGTGAGGCCAGGTTGGCAGAACCACACAGACCAAGCTGTTACAGGGTAAAAACGAGTGTTTCCTTTGGGTGAGCACATGTGCATTCAAACACCTAGAGAGAGTAAAAGGTCTCACTCCCGGTGGCTACCAGTGGCAGGGGTAAAGATTTGGGATGACCCATAAGGAGTAGGTCTTATCTGAAAGCAGCCACTGTATCCATTCAGTCATTGGCTTAACTAACACTGACATGGCTATTGAGAAGGGAGAGGAGGTTGGCTGGGAAGCCATGAGTGAGGGAGTGCCAGGGCCGCACAGCTCTCCCTAGTTCAGCCTCGGGGGGCTCCAGGCTCACGGTCAAGCCTGCTTGGCAGCCGTGTTCTCTGACCCTGTATCCACGGCTGGCTGGGGTCTGCAGTCTCTTCTCCACAAGTGCTGACACCATGGGGCTCCTTCCGGTGCTCTGTAAGGAGCTGGCGGGTCCCCAGTGGGTTCACTTCCATCTTCTCCAATGGTCACCACATGGACTCGGGTTCTCTCACCTAGTCTCACTTTTTCTCCAAAATTGATTTTAGGGAGAGAGAAACATTGGTCTGTTGTTCCAATTATTTATGCATTCGTTGGTTGATTCTCTTATGTGCCCTGACGGGGATCGAACCCACAACCTTGGTGTATCAGGATGATGCTCTACCCAATAACTACTGAGCAGGGCTAATCTCACATATCGGGAGTAAACTTTCTGGATTAATTGGGGGTTTTCCGGGTGAGCTGTGCAGCAGCCAGCCACTCCAGGAAGTGGGGTGTCACCCCAGACCTTGGTTTAGCCAGTGGAGGTGCCAGTTGACCCTGTGTGTGTGGCTCTCCTGTGCACAGGCTGGTCAGTACGGCGTGGCCCAGACACGGAGGCGAGCCAT